AACCTTTCTTCTACGTATAAACCGACATCTTTCTTGCTACCGTCAGGTCTGAGGAACAGTCACCAGACTCGAAACATTAACTGATTTGTCTTCACAGATGCTGCCAGACCTGCTGAGCTTTTCCAGCAACTTCTGTTTTTTGTTTGTAGTTAACTTTAGTCTGCATCAGATGTCCCTATTGGGGTACAGGAGCTTAAGAACATGATTTGGAATTTTAGTACATAAAGTATTCTTTGATTGATTTAAAAATAACATGTAGGTTTTGTTTTAATTGTTAACTTTGTAGTAGATTTCATCTAACATTTGAGCTTTACGGATGTGTGTTTCCTTTATTTAGGTGACCCTGGTTGGCATGATCAAAGATGCAGAAAAAGCACCAACAAACATTTTGTACAAATTGGATGATATGACTGCACCCCCAATGGATGTAAGACAGTGGGTGGATACTGACGTAAGTATACGAATTTTCCATATGTTTAACGTATCTCCTCATCCCTGATGAGGCCACCAAATTTTTATTTCAATATCGACCAATATCTTTTTTTTTAAATGTAGATAATGTTTGAAATCCCATATTCTCAAGAATAAAGCCATGAGTTTCCAGGGGTTTGAGCAAAAATTCATTCCACTATATGTTAAGTTGGAATGGTGTTACAAAGCAGAGATGAGGTTGACGTCTCTCTGACAATTAAAACCGAAACACCGAGAAGCTTGCCTCATGATCTGTTAAAGGAAATGTGAAAAATGGTATAACCTGTCTCACACCTCCCAATCTGTTATAAAGGAGAGGTGAAATAAAATGAACTCCTGACAGTCACTCTACAATCAACAAGTAACAATTTATCTAACTCTAACAGTGAACAAATTAACAGAGCTGCTAAGTAACCAAATAATTCCCCCTTAACTACTGACCATTCCCTGCTGTTCCAACAGACAGAAGTCCCACTTAAATAAACCAAATTAATACAAAAAAATTAAAACTTAATCTCTTGAGTTTACAGCTAGGATAAGCCTTCCGTAATGTTTTTGCCTTCTCTGCTGTCCTCCAGTCAGGAATGCCTTCCTCTGTCAAATTCTTGTGTGAGGAGTATTAACTAAGTGCCATGGTACCTTTTATTTAGATGGTGCTTACTGAGAGCTTGGAGATATTTGTGAGAGCCAGTGAGTTTCTCTTCAGATGGCAGTTTGGTCTCTCAACAATTTTCAAATGCCTTCTTCTGTACCCTTGATGACCTGTTAATTTCTTACAATAGGATTGGTCCTAGATTGTCAAAACTACCAGATTTAAATTTAATTTTCTTTGTTTCTAAGTGCTTGATTTAAATTAATTGGCTGATTTTCAAACTGGTTGCCTTAGTAACAAAACAAGACTTCTGCCTGGGTTGTTAGCCATACAGCCTTTCCATACAGTATTTCAATTTCAGGAGCTCTCTGAGCACCTGAACGGTTTTTGTTTTAATCTCCAAGCCTAGAAAAAACACATCATCTTTTAACCCCACACTCTCTCTCCCGGCCCCCCCAAACCCCCATCATTTTACAAACGTCAAATTTTAATATCCTGCCTTCCAATCCATGAATACTCTACCCAACTTCACAACAAACGGTAACACAACCTTCAAACGTATAGAAATATGTACTCTGACATCCAGAATTGATGAGGTAAATATTAATAACAGGCAACATTGGTTGAGCACCTTACCAGTATGTCAAAAAGCATATGTGATTATCCTCCAGATTTTTCAGCAACCTACCCCAGATATTAGTGATACTAAATTGCCAAATTTAATTTAAAACTCTACAAATTGTTCAAATTGTGCAAATCTAGCTTTAGAGCTCCCTCTGATTGCTACATTACGTCCTACCTCGATTAGAACACATGTCCTGGTAGTTCACTCCTCCTTTCTTTGAGACTGCCTTTCTTGATACTTTAGATTACATCCCAGCACGTGCTCATCGGCACACTTCCACCTTTACCACAGATAACCAGCTTCCCTAAGGGTTTCTCCAAGCTCCAATATCTGTTATACCAGCAAATGTCCTTCACCCTCATCCTTGGCTGCATTGAATTATTAATAGCCTTTGAGCTTTTTCTTTTCCTTATTCTTGGAATATGGGCATTGCTGGTTAGTGCAACATTTATTGTTGATCCCCAGTTGTCCTATAACTGGCTTGCTAGGCCATTTCAGAAGGTCATGATGTGGAGTTGCCACTGTTGGACTGGGTTGGACAATATCAGAGGTCACACGACACCAGGTTATAGTCCAACAGGTTTATTTGAAATCTCAAACTTTTTCAGGTAAAGTTTGTGATTTCAAATAAACCTGTTGAACTACAACCTGGTATTGTGTGACCTTTTATGTCAAAAGGCATTTATTGTGGATGTGGAGTCACATGTAAAGATGCTAAATTTGCTTTCCTGGTGAATTAGATAGGTTTTTATGACCATTAGCAGTGGTTACTCAGTCACCATTAGGTTAGTTTTTAGTTCTGGATTTTCTGTTTAATTGTATTGGCATTTTAACCATCTGCTATGGTGGGATTTGAACGCGTGTCTTCGGAAGATTACCTAGGCTTCTGAATTACTGGCTCCGTGACATTACCACCAGACCACTGAGGTCCCCAGCCCCCAAGGCTCTAATCAGCTCCTAACATGCTTTCTGAGCTGTAACTCCAATAACTGGCTGTACCTACTGACTCCTGGGATTTTCTAACTCCTGACTGCTTTAGTTATGTTCCAGCAGAACCCTTTTTGGGATGAAACCTCTTTTTCCTGCAGCTGACCACCAGACTCACTAACTCTGGCTTATAGAATCATAGAGTCATACAGCATGGAAACAGACCCTTCGGTCCAACCAGTCCATGCTGAACCTAATCCCAAACTAAATTAGTCCTACCTGCCTGCTCATGGCCAATATCCCTCCAAACCTTTCCTATTCATGTACTTATCCAAAAGTCTTTTAAATGTTGTAATTGTACCCCCCACACCCCGCCTGCACCACACACATGCCCCACCCCCCCCCAATTTCCTCAAGAAATTCATTCCACACGAACCACCTTCTGTGTTTTTTTTTAGAAAAAAAAATATATTTTTTAGATCTCTGTCCTGTCACCTTAATGTGCCCTCTGGTCTTGAAATCTACCATCATAGAGTTAATGGTAGGTGTCTTTTCCCTATCTATACTCCTCATTATTTTATAAACTTAAATAAGGTCATCTCTCAACCTGCTGCGCTCCACTGAAAAAAGTCCCAGCCTATCCAGTCTTTCTTTACAATTCGCATCATCCATACCCAGCAACATGCTGATAAATCTGTTCTGAACCCTCCCTGGCTTAATAACAACCTTCCTACAACTGGGCAACTAGAACTGGACGCAGTATTCCAGAAGAGGCCTCACCAATGTCCTGCATCTTTCATTCTATCCTGTGATCTAGTCTTCATGCCAGTCACATGGTCTCCACAACCCGTAGCACATTCCTGATAGCTGGGTCTTCCAAATGTTTAAAAATACCAGAATCTGCAGCCTGTCTTGCTGCCATCCAAAGCATACTGTTATGAAGTTGTGTACAGTATAATTGTGAATTGGAAGGCAGGAAGCTAGAATTTCTTTGTTTAAGATAAAAGGGAGAAGAGTGCATGGTTCCTATTGAGGTAAAGTGCTTTTCTAAGCTGAGAGATTTGTACAGGGGGAAAATAGTGTGTATATGTAGTTGGCGATATACAACCAGTTCTGAAATTGAAACATGTATCAATTGGCTGTGTGATTGGAAACCTTAGACTTGTTTTGCTATTTTGGGAACTAACTAGAATCAGCCAATTAATTTAAACCAAGCACGTAGCAATTGAAAGCCAAGTGAATTTAAATCTGATGGTGTTGACAGCCTTGGACCAATACTATTGTGAAAAAATTGGTATGTCATCCAAGGTATATAAGGAGAGGGTTTTTGAAAATTGGTATAAGAGAGAACTGCCATCCGAGAAATAAGCATCTAGCTCTCACAAGAAATCACCTAAGCTCTCTAAGAAAGCACCATCTATCCATAAAAGGTACCATGGAACTTCTAGCTAAGAGTACTCACAGACGACTTCACAGAGGAAACATCCCTGACAGCTGGATCAGCAGAAGAAAGGTGTTCCGGGGCAGCACAGTGGCTCAGTGGTTAGCACTGCTGCCTTACAGCGCCAGGAACTTGGGTTCGATTCCATGCTCGGGTTGTTGTCTGTGTGGAGTTTGCACATTCTTCTTGTGTCTGCGTGGGTTTCCTCCCACAGCCCAAAGATGTGCAGGTTAGGTGGATTGACCATGCTAAATTGCCCATAGTGTTCAGGGATGTGTAGATTATATGGGTCATGGGGTATAGGTCTAGGTGGGATGCTCTGAGGGTTGGTATGGATTTGTTGGGCTGAAGGGCCTGTTTCCACACTAGGGATTTTATGATTCTGTGTTTGACTTGAGAACAGCAGAAGAAAGGCATGTAGACTTTGAGAGACTAAGTTTTAATTTATTTTCTTATTACTTGGGTTTATATAAGTGGCCTTCTGTTTGCTGGTACAGCGTACCAATAGAATTTAGTTCAGTTAGGGAATAGTTAGTAGTTATTGGGGAATTGTTTAGTTTGTTAGTAATTCTACTAATTTGTTCACTGTTAAGGTTGAATAAATAATTACTTGTTACTTATAAAATGAATGTCAGGGATTTTCTTTCATTTAATTTCCCCTCCTCCGTAACAGATTAGGCGAGCTTCTCCGGGTGTTTTGGGTTTAATTATTAGAAGGGGACCTATACTCCTGCTGTAACAGATTGGGGCTTGTGTTTTGATTTTAATTATCGGAGGGGTTCGACCTCTCCTTCCTAACGGTCTGCTATGACTTCCAGGGACTATTAGGAAATGGAGTCCTCACTGGAGTCTAAAACTGGGTATTGTATGTTCGGATTTCGTAACAATATATATTAGGTCAGTTTAAAAGTATGCTGTATTCTCTTGTCAGTCCTTTCAAGTATTGTAATATGTTTTGCAGGTAATTAGTTCTGGACAGAATGTTGATGAGTCTGTGTTTAAGTCTGTTTGTTAGTTTGAGTAGGTCAAGTTCATTGTTGGAAAGAGCACTTGATGTTTGTAAATGGGAATAGTTTGGTGCAATCGATTTAATTTTATTTGCATTGATCACCTAATTTCCTGTCTAAAGTGAGATGAATCTCTTCCAGCTGGTGGTGGCAAGATGAATGTTATTTCAACCCTGCCACGTGTTTGTATTCACTCATCTGAAATTGAGAATTTACATTAATTGTATTTTAAAAACTTGAACTCTCAGTGCTGTTTTAGTCAAGTCTGCCATTTTCTCTTATTTTGACAAGTTAAAAAGGCCTTGCCTTAAATTTGCAAAACTCAGCATGGTGTATGTTATTTTGTAGTCATAAAATTCTTTTTTGCCTTATAAGATATTATACCACAGAAATAGGTTGATTATTTTCACTTGCATGTATAACATTTTAAATTTAGTGCTAAAATGAATTGTAACTTTGCTTCAGTAAATTACAACAGAGCTCCACATAAATCCACTGTATATAATTATTTTAAACTGCCCTGTAAGTCTGTTGTAATCATAAATTTGAATTTATTAAACTATCTCTCTGTTCAACAAACATCTATTGCTATATACCTTAACTCTGAAACCTGAAGACTTCTGTTAAGCCATATATTACCTTTTGCAGCTCTGGACAAGAAAAGATCAAGCATTTTTAAAATGACTTCAGCATTGAAACTAATCAGCCTTTAGCAGCACATGTAATGTAAAATACACTTTTCTACTGATTTGCACACAGGATGTCCATTTGACTGAACTAGTCCATGTCATTGTTTATGCTGTGTTTGAGCCTCCTCTGTTGTCCCATTACAAATCCATCAGGATAACTTCAATTCATTTCTTATATTCTTTCTATAATTAAGTGCACAACAATACTACAACTTAGTTTAACTGAGATCTGTACAGTTTAACCATTATCACTTATGTTCTGTACATCTAAATGTAAACCCACAGATTCCAGTTGATCTGATAGTCATACCTACTTGTTGGAGTTTCTGTTTTACTTTGTTTAAAATCTTTAAATGTGATAATTTTATTTTTGTTCCAAAGAATGTCATTTTGATTTCCCACTGCTGTCTGCCTACCTGGCTAACTTTCATCTTGTTCTCCATTTGCTATCCATCCTCTCCACTTCCCTCACCTAAAAATTTAGTGCCATCTGTATATTTCAGTCACATCCTTTCAAATTTGTTATTAATTTATGTGGTCTGATTTTAAATCAACTTTTTTGTTTGGTAAGCCTTATCTGCAACGCACGAGATTTTTCTTGTGCCCCCAAAAACGAATTTGCAGATAATTCTAATGAAATTGACTTTGAATTAAAGGAGCGATTGTGTAATAGAGTGTTGAATACCTATAGCAAGACTTATCTGGAATGTTTAATGTTATAAAACATAGAGTACTAGTGAATAAAAACCATGTTCAATATATTTTAAAAGATTTATCTAACAAATACTGGTTTTTGTCCCACCATTGCCAAAGCACTTCAGGGGCTGCTTTGGGTGAACAAGTTGTATCTCTGGTGGGAGTATGCTTTTGATAACTCCCATCTGTTCAGTTCTGACTGTTCTTGAATAGCTCCTGTTTCTTGAAGTGTTTATAACTTCATCCAGCATAAACTGAACTTGTTTATTGACAAATCCGTTTTGTCAAATGTCATTCGTACTTAAGTGTCACTTTCCTTCTCCCTTCAGATATTATGACAAGATTTTAACTTTATAAATCTGTTTTAATTTCTTGCAGATTCGTGTTTTATTTTGGCTATTTGAAGTTACCTCTGCTTTTAATCATTCTAACAAATGTTAACGTTTTTTAAATACAGGAAGTCGGAAGTGAGAATATTGTTGTTCTCCCTGGTAGCTATGTAAAGGTAGCTGGTCATCTCCGATCATTCCAGGTATGCGCATTTACACAAGGCATTGATACTTTAGACATCTCTTTTTTTTGTTTTGTCTCATTTCATTTGCTTCCTATACTTTACCAATTTAGTATTTTGGGACATACGAGTTATTCATAAAACGCTATATTTCCCCCAGCTTTTTTGTTTATTTAATGACCTAATTAAATGGAATGGTATTCACTAAAAATATGAAGCCTATATTTATACAAATAAAATTTTAACTGGGGGGAAATATGCTATCTGAAGTACATTACCTGAGTAACAATTTAGTACATTTCTTTTTTGAAAAGTGCTACTGAATGATTTGATGAAGATTTTTGATTGCTTTGTGTAATCATGCCATTGGGAGTGGCAGTTCATAGAATTGTTAAGTTGAATGTATTCCTGATTTTCTTGTGTTTCCGAACATTTGGCATTCACCATATCTTTAGTGAAAGGAACTAAGCTGAATCGCTTTTCAGTGATGAGGGAACAATTAATGTATGCAAATTTGAAAAAAATAAGTTTACTGGAGTATTCATGTATTTGTAGGTTAATGGTAGCTTCTGCTTTTGAAGTTTAGGCAAAACAAATCTTGTCAGTCTTTTGTATCTATTAAAATAGAACAAAATTAGAAGTTGTCTGTAACACTTCAGTTTTTTATTACACTATAGTATTTTATCTACTGAATTCACTTGTAAGTTTTGATTCTGCGTGAATATTAAATCTAATCTTGAACTTAACTGTTACTTTAAATTGATAGAACAAGAAGAGCTTGGTGGCTTTTAAAATCATGGTTTTGGAAGACATGAATGAGTTAACATCACACATGTTGGAGGTGGTGCAGGCTCACTTGTTGCTAAACAAACCACAGGTGAGCACAAGGCTAAACACTTGGGACAACATTCTGATAGGATACAGCTAACGTGTGTTTCAAGATTAGAAATTGTGCTGCATTGTATAATAGCTAGCTAGAAAAGGACAGCAACTGTTACAAATATTCAACAAGTCAGGTAGTATTTGGAGAGAGAAGCAGGATGCTATAGTAGAAGGAGCAGCTGGTTAAGAATGCCGAAAGGGGAAGTGTTTGATGCCATCGTGCTGGAGAGGTGGTGGACGCAGGGCTGCTGACGGAAGTGGAACATAAGTGTGATAGGATGTTTTCCACTTGCCTGGATGAGTACAGATCTAACAGCATTCAAACTCAGCACCATCAAGGTCATAGCTGCCCCCTTGATTACCAGTGCTTCAGACATTCACTCCTTCCTCATAGTAGTGGCAGTGTGCATCATCTACAAGATGCGCTGCAGCAACTTGTCAAGGCTCCCTTGAAAGCACCTTCCAAACATGCACCCTGTTCTAGATAGAAGGACAAGGGCAGTGGGAGCATGGATGTGCTACAACATGCAAGATTCCCTCCAAGTGACTCATGATTCTGACTTAAGACTATATTGCCATTCCTTCAAAGTTATGGGGCCAAAATCCTGGAAAACCCTTCTGGACAACACTGGGTGTAGCTATCCATCATGGACTGCAGCAGTACAAGAAGATGGCTCACCACCAGCCCCTCAAGACACTTTAGTATAGACAATAAATGCTTCTTGAGTCAGCAGCATCCATATCCTGTGAATGAATAATAAAATCAGTATCTTGAAGAGTAGAAATCATTAGAAGAGATGGGGAATGGGCATTAGAAAAAGATCATTGTCATAAGTTGCTCACTCTGAACTTCATTGCTACTGAATAATTTTTACAGCCAATAAAATTAAGTGCATTTTAGATTCAACCAGGATCAAGACTTTACACCTGCTTACCTAGCAAAAGTCATTAATCTAATGAAGAATTGTTCTGAAGTTTCACTTCTTCAATTTTTTTGTCAGCCTGTGCCTGGAGGATCTCTAGCTTTGCACACCCCAATGCGAAATGAAGGTACAATGGGGCTATATGGTGGTGGTAATGAGGCATTGATGAATGGACTAACAAGTCAACAAAGTCAGGTAAAACTCACTGGGAGAGAATTGTGAAATTGCCTCATCTGAAGTTATTACAATAGGGTTAAGAGAAAAACAATAGTTTACCTCCCTCTAATTGCAACGTTAAATTCGTGGAGTAATGCCTCAAACAGACCGAACACATAACTGACAAGATATGAAAAAAGCTAGTTTAATGTGATATCTATGCCCACAATATTGGAAAAATATCCCTTTTCTTTGGGATACAGTACAGATATGACAGCCTTCTGTGCTGTGACTCTTCTCTAACCCTGTTGTTTCAAGGCAATACCTTGGATCCCCTTGCAAACCCAGAAAAATCAAACCAATTTGTAATTAGTGTGTCGGTTTGTACTATTTGAGTTTTTGTAATGCTATTTGGAAAGGGCTGTTTTAGCATTATTGCTGCAAATAACTTGCATATTTTCATTGATAATGTTAACAAGAATTTGTTTTAAACTTTACGTATAGTTCCTTCAGGCTTAATGTGCACACATGCATCAGAAGGTGACAACACTCCTATTGTAGACCATGACTTTGATGTTTCGTTGAATGCATTTTAGTTCGAACAGAATTGTATTTAAATGTGCTGGTTTGATTCTAGGGATGGGGCATGATATGTTAATCAATCCAAATTGAATTTAAATTTCGTGCTGATGATCCTTATAGCAGAGGTCCCCAGTATCACAGATGCCAGTCTTAAGTCAGTTTGATTCTCTCCACATGATATCGAGAAATGGTTGGAGACACTGGATACTGCAAAGGCTGTGAGCCCATACTACTTTCCTGCAACAGTAGTGAAAGGTGGTACTCTAGAATTTGCTCCACGCCTTGCCAAACTGTTCCAGTGCTGGTACAACACTGACAATTGACCCAACAATGTAGAAAATTGCCCAGGTGTGTCCTGTATGCACAAAGCAGGACAAATCCAACCTGGCAAAAAACCACTTCTTCGGTTTTCTTGAGATCATCAGTAATGGGAGTGGTCATCAACAGTACTATCAGGAAACACCTGCTCACTAGTAGCCAATGTGGTTTCTGCCAGGACCACTCACCTCCTGACCTCATTACAGCCTTGGTCCGAAAGAACTGCATTCCAGAGGTGAAGTGAGAGTCACAATCCTTGCTATCAAGGCTGCATATGACAGTGTGACAACAAGGAGTCCTAACAAAACTGGAATAAATGTGGACCTGGCAGTGATGGGGAGCTGACCAATAGTTGGAGTCATATCTGGCATTTGGGAAGATGTTCTGGTTTTTGGTGGTCAGTTATTCCAGCTCCAGTACATCTGTGCAATAATTCCTTAGGGTATTCTTCAGCTGTTTCATCAAGCAACTTCTGTCCATCATAAGGTCAGAAGTGGAGGTGTGCAGTGATGATTGCACAACTGTCAGTACTATTCTCTACTAATCAGATAACGAAGCATGTCCAAATGCAACAGGGCTTGGGCTGAAAAGTGGCAAGTAATATTTGTGCCGCACAATGACCATTCCAATAAGAGAGAATCTAACAACTGTCTCTGATATTCAATGGTGTTACCATTGTCAATGTCCTGGGGATACTGGAGACCAGAAACTGAACTGGACTGCCATATAAATGCACTGACTACAAGAGCAGGTCAGGGGCTAGGACTGTTTGCTGTGAGGAACTCCTCTGAATCCTCAAAGCCTTTACACCATTTGACAAGGTACAAGTCAGGAGTGTGATGGAATACTCCCCATTTGTCTGGGTGAGTGCAGCTCTAACAATACTGAAGAAGCTTGACACCATTCAGGGCAAAGCAGTCCACTTGATTGGCACCACATTCTCAAACATCCACTCCCTCCACCATTGACACTCAGCAGCAATGTGTGCTATCTGCAAGATGCACTGCAAAAATTTACCAAAGTTCCTTAGCACCTTCCAAAACCAAAACCGCTTCCATCTAATAGATGAGAGCAGTAGGTACATAGGGGTTCCGTCCGAGCCACACACCATCCAGACTTGGAAATATATTGCCGTTCGTTCAATCACTGGATCAAAATCTTGAAATTCCCTCCCTAAAGGCATTGTGGTTTACCTACAACAAGTGGTCTGCAGCAGTTTAAGAAGTCAGCCTACCACCACCTTCTCAAGGACAAATCGGCTATTGAGCAATAAATGCTGGCCCAGCGATTAGGCCCCACGTCTGCAAGTGGATAAGGTTAGTTCACATGGAATCTAAGGAAAGCTAGCCAATTGGATACAAAATTGGCTTGATGGTAGGAGACAGAGGGTGGTGGTAGAGGATTGTTTTTCAGACTGGAGGCCTGTGACCAGCAGTGTGCTACAAGAATCAGTGCTGGGTTTAGTACTGTTCATTCACATATAAGTGATTTGGATGAGAATGTAGGGGGTATGATTAGTAAGTTTGCGAATGATTCCAAAATTGGCGGTATGGTGGACATTGAAGATGGTTATCGAAGAGTACAATGGAATCTTGATCAGTGTTTAAAGGCATATGGACCAAACTCTAGAAAATGGGGCTAGTGAAGTTGAGGAAACTTGGTTAGCATGGACAAGTTGGGCTGAAGGGCCTGATTCCATGCTGTGTACCTCCGACTTTAAGTGAATTTAAAAATAATGTTGATTTAAATAACCATGGATAGTGCCAACCCAGTTCATAATGGATCCTCATTATTTGAAGGGAATTCTCACTAATAGAGGAACTTATTGCCACAATAATAGGCAATGTGATCAGTCAACGTGACTGTTGTAGTGATCATCCTCACAGGAGAGGGTGCTTTACCGTTGTAATGTTCGGTTCAGTCCAGGATTTTTCATGAGCTCCTCTTGTTTTCAAACGATTCAAAATCTTAAACCACCTTTCCTAGCTTGACTGTAATTTTTTAAAATGCTGTTATATCCCAAAGACCCAATTGGAGATGCCTAGTAAAGGCTTGTACTGCATCAAATAATGAAATATACAAGTGCTTGATATTGTTGAAAAAAAAACAATATTTTGTTTCTTGGTACATAAAAGGTAGAAGCAAACTTTATAATTTGTAAATTGAAATTACTGACTTAAGTTGTCTGGTAATGTAGAACATGAGTATTGTTGGGGGCAGTGGGGTGGTGGGGAGGGAAAAGACATTTTGAGAAAACATTTCATCCAGTACTCATCAGGATAATTCACAAGAACACCAGTTTAAGTGTGAAAGGCAGCATTTCTTTAAATTTGTTTGTAGAATCATAGGGTCATACAGCATGAAAACGGACCTTTCGGTCCAATCAGTCCACGCCGACCATATTCCCAAACTAAACTAGTCCTACCTGCCTGTATTTGACCCATATGCCACCAAACCTTTCCTATTCATGAACTTACCCAAATGCCTTTTAAACGTTATAACTGTACTGCACCCACTTCTAGTAGTTCATTCTGCAAAGGAGCCACTGCTTTTTTTGAAAAAAAAAGTTGTCCTTCGTTTCTTTTTTTAAATCTTTCTTCCCTCACCTTTTGCAAAAAAAAAGCCCCCCCCAGTTAGTTTTGAACTCCCCCACCCTAGAGAAAAGACCCTTGACATTCACCTTCTTTATGCCCGTCATATTTTATAAACCTTAATAAGGTCAGCCCTAAACTCATGCACTGCAGTAGGGAAAGAAAAATGTCCCATTCTTTCCAGTCTATTTCTATATTTCAAACCTCCATTCCCAGCAACATCCTGGTAATTTTTTTCTGAACTGCTCCAGTTTAATGGTTTTTGGTAGTTGCTGGCTGACCAACATGTGTTGCCTATCCTGTCTAGCCTTGGAAAAAATGGTGGTCAGCTGCCACTTTGTAACAGCTGAGATTAATTTGGTGTTGGTACCTCCACAATGCTGTTAGGGAAGGAGTTCCAGAATTTATCCAGTGATGCTGAACCCAACTGTTGCTAAATTGGTTATCAGCATAATTCTTTGCATACTCAGATTATCCAGCAGATACTGTCCAATTGATAATGGATACAGTTTCAAGTTCTACATGTGCAGACTGGTTGGGTGTACACAGTGAGTACCTTGCTTATTGCAGTAGCCAAAGGGATATACTGTTTGATAAGATCCACCACTCTGTGGCGTAGGATCTACATACCTGGCTTCACATTAGCATTATACTAGGTTACTTGTTTGGGTGATGAGCAGGATGTCTTTTTGGCCTGAGATCCTGTTTGTTGCATACACAATTTGTGTTGATACTGAGTAGCTGAATGAAGCAGCTAGCTTCACTTGTAACCCAAATGTTTGAGATACCTTGCTCTTCTAAAATAATCTCAAGTGTAGTCTGGGCAAGTTTAATGACTAAATGTGAGACTGCCTTGGGGCCATTCACGAGTTTGTGTGGTATATAATAAGAAATTCTCTGATCAGGGCAGTCACGCTATCCTGAAGCATGGCTTTGATGTGCCCTACTTAATGCTTATGTAATGAACAAATATCATGGGCCCAATTTATGAAGTTGTTGATAAGGCTAATCTTCTGATATGTTGAACCTTGGGAATCTCAAAGTATGTCCTCTCCTATCAAACACTTTTTTAAATTGTGGTTTTCCCCTTAAATTGCTAGCTGAAAAATTTTGACTTTTTGTTTTGTCAGAATTACAGACTTTTATTTATGGTAGCTAAAACAATGCTTTCCTTTCAGGTACTGAATTTGATTCGCAACTGTCGAGAACAGGAGGGCATGAGCATTGACTACATGAGGAAAACACTGAAGAATATGAACATCATTGCTATCAAGTTAGTGTTATTTTCAGTTAATATTCTTGGGTTAAATTAAATATTCAAAGTCTTATGATTACAATTTTGTTTTCATATAGGCAAGCAGTAGAATTTCTTAGCAATGAAGGACACATCTATTCTACGGTGGATGAGGATCATTTCAGGTCAACAGATGCTGAATAATTGAGGAATAAAAAGATGTGAAGCTAAAATTCTGAACCCATTCTAAAACCTGCAGAGTCTATCATCTTGTAGTAAAATGTAAATAATAATCAATTTTAACATGAAGGAGTGGGTGTCTCTATGTTCTACTTGGATTTTTCACATTGTTTGATTGCAAACAGCTGCATTTTTGGTTTTGTAAATCTGCACTTTTTTGTATCATGATAGAAAATAAACTCTCTTTGATCTTGACCATAGCCTCCCTGTACACTATTGAAGCATGGAAGCTTGTTCTACATCTCTCTTACCACCTTCAGATTGGGAATGATACTACTAATATTTGGATATAACATTGAAATTTTGACTAAACTGGCATCATAATTAGAGAAGAATAAATGCTTGTAAATTAACTTGATGCCAAATGTAGTAAACTTTGTTTTTGATTTTATAGAATTTTAATAAAATCCAATGCAGCGTTTTGATTTAAGACATCATTTTCTAATTGACCTCTTGAATAGTTGGTAATGTGATGCATTGTTGAACTTTGCCAATGCATGTTTTATAAGTTTGACCTTTGATAGATTTTGTTTCTCTTGCTCATCCACCGGATTGGGATGGGTAAATCATATGGCATTGTTCATAGTGTCACTCATTTAAAGAGCATAAAGAAAAGTAAATATCAGATTTTACATATCTAAGTGCAGATCTAAATTGGATGCAAACAGCCCCAAATTATATTCAATAAAAAATGAAAGAATTGTGGATGCTGTGAATCAGGAACAGACACAGAAGTTGCTAGAAAATTATATTCATTGTTTGTTCTTGGATTGCAACATGAACTTCAGGATCCCAGTAGCATCTTGCTTAGAAATTTAGCAAATTTTTTTAGTTTTTTTTTATTTAAGAATTGTTTAGAACTATAACATTATGACAACAGGAATAATCAGTGTAATATGTGATTTATTTTGTACCGAAGAGTACTTTTAGAGAGTCTCTTTCTTGACCAGCATGTTATACCTCTAGTATGTTTTTCTATTCTGTTGTGGGACGTGGGCATCGCTGGCTGGGCCAGCCAGTCTCTAGTTGCTCTTGAGAAGGTGGTGAGCTGCTACCTTGAGCCACTGTGGCCCACATGCTGCAGGTGGATCCACAATGCCATCTGAGAGAGAGAATTCCAGGATTTTGACCCAGTGACGGTGAAAGAACAGCAATATATTTACAACTCTGGCTTGGAGAGGTGGTGGTGTTCCCATGTATTTGCTGCCCTTGTCCTTTCTAGGATAAACTGGTCATGAGTTTGAAAGATGCTGTCTAAGCATCTTTTGGGTGAATTTCTGCAGTGCATCTTGTAGATCATTTGCAGTGTTAGAGGGAGTTAATGTTTGTGGATGCACCAATCAAGTGGGCTGCTTTGTATTGGATGGTTGGTGTCAAACTTCTTGAGCTTTGTTGGAGCTACATTCATCCAGGCTGTTTGGGAGTATTCCATTACACACAAAAATGGAGGTTGCTGGCAAAGCTCAGTAGCACTGGCAGCATCTATGAGGAAAAATCAGAGTTAACATTTTGGGTACAGTGACCCTTTCTCATGCTCCTGACTTGCACCATGTAGATGGTGAACAGGCTTTGGGGTGATGCATTACTCACTGCAGTATTCTTGGACTCTGACCTGCTTTTTAAACTACTCTCATATGGCAAGTCCAGTTCTGTTTCTGGTTGATGGTGACCACTACCCCTTTTCTCAAACCCCTCGTCTCTGGCATCAGTCTAATGGACTCCTGAACTGTGCCCAATTCAGTTATAAGTTGCAAGTAAGGGGACTAAAATTGTGTGCAATACTCAATTTGTATAATGCATATCATATTTTAGTTGTGAATGAGTGAGGCAGGAAAGGGAGTTGAAACTGAAGATCAACCATGATTGTATTGAATGGTGGAGTAGATTTGACGGGTGGAATGTTCACTGTTGCTTCTATTGTTTAGCAAGCTTAACCTCAAACATAGTAATCTCTGGATTGTCTCCAGGAGGCATGTGTGCAACTGCACCCCCAAGATGAGCCACCAGCGCAGTAAAACAAGGGCAGAATTGGGTGGGCAGAAGAAGTTTTTGATTAGGGGCCTAAAACTGGCTAAATTGATCTGACACCACAGACAATCTGGGAATGATGTGAAGACTGTTCAAGATGTTGGCACCAGAAAGGTGACATCTCTGGGGAGAATGGCCTGAATAGGACTCTTGTAGAGATTGCAGCCTGGCCTGGCAGGGGAATGAGGGACTCCTGGTTGTAGTCACAGCAGGCCTGGAGCAGGGACTTCTGATTATTAGCACAGCTGGGATCTTCTGGTCGTGGAACAAGTGTGGGTTCAGCACGGGACCCACTGTTGACAAGGTGTGCCCAGAGATGAAGAGATGGCACTGAAAGAGCGCCAACTCCTATTTTGGTGAGTCTGGCACAGGCAGTGGAGGCACAGGTGTCATCGGTGAGCTGGCTCAGGACTCCTGGCAGAGGCAACAGAACGAAGATAGACTCTTTCAGTTAATCTTTACCCTTAAACTATTCAAAATGGTGCTGAATCATGGTGACAGTCAAAGCTTTTGTATTTTACTGTTTTATTCTCTGTGAAATGCAAGCGACAATAAGAAAGCAACTAGTACCATGTGCAAGTGCGTGTAGAACTGGAAGGATAAGGCTGTGGATAATGCGTGGCCGGATAGGTGGATGAGGGTGAAGGGAAGAAGAGATGATAGGATTCTTGGGGCAGTGGGACTGGTTCTGGGGAAGATGGCACTTTGTAAAACCAGATGAGTTGTACCTGAACAAAACTGGTACGGAGTTCCTAGCCAGGTGTTTTTCTAGTACTGTTGGGAAAATTTTAAACTAATCAGACAGCAGCAAAGGAACCAATAGAATATCTGGGAAATACCAGGATGCTTAGAATAATTGGATAGATGGTACTTCTGTAAAGAATAGAAAATCAATAGGTGAAATTTTGAGTAATGAAGACTAAATCAGGGTTAATGTGGATACACAAGGTATAGGGGAGTTACAGGTACAGATTGCCACATGGAGTTAAGACATTATGATAACAAGACCTGGTTCAAGGAAAGGCAGGACTAGGTGTTAAATATTCCTGGGCATGAGATGTTCAGAGGTTGCAGTACTGGAAAAAGAATGTCCAAGGCCAAAATCGATCTTGTCAGAGCTAATGTTGCAATCATACTGCTCGATGTACTATATAGTACAAACCGCTAGTTTGAAGGATCTAGAGGTGAAAAAATGTATTGATATTTGGGATGCTAACATTCCTGAGTAATTATAATGGGGACGTTGACTACAGAAATGTAGACCGCAACAATAGCAGCGTGAGGGTAGAGCGGAGTAACGTTTCTAGATATTGCTGTAGGAACTTTTCTTGAACATTGTGTCCAGTTCAATAAGGAAGGAACGTTTAAAAAGAGATCTGAGGGAAGTTTTTAAAATCGTGAGAGGTGTGAGTATAGTTGAAGGGAAGAAACTATTCCTGTTCGTTTAAAAAAAAAAATCAAAATGAGAGGGTGCAGATTTAAAATGATTTGCAAATGTTGATAAAGTTTCTTCAGATCACTTTTGCAATGTTGGGTTGTGAAACTGCCAAGAAGTGTGGTGATCAAAAAGGGCACTAGATTGTTTCTATTCAAATAACAATGTGCAAAGATATAGGAAAAAGGTAAGAGAATAGTAGTAAGTTGTAACACTCGTTTGATAGCCAGTTCAGCCACAATGAGTTGAATGGCCTCCTGCATTGAATCACAAAATTGTTACAATGAAGTGAATTCAAAGGATGGATCTTTGCAGCAAAATCCCAAAATCAGCAATGTGATACTGATGATGATCTTCTCTTGGGATACTAAATGAGGGCTATTGAGAGGTAATTGGACACAGGCAAGAATTTCCTTTATTTTAAATAAAGTGCCATAGAATCTATTGCATTTACCTATAAGAGGAGCCTCAGTTTAACGTAGCGCTTAAGCTAATTTTCGTGTCTAATCTAGAAAATACCATTTCCTACAGTACAAAGTTCCCTCTGCTACAATGGAGTAACAACCTGGATGTTTGTGCTTCATGTTTTAAAATTGGACATGAACTCAATCTTCTCAGGTGAGCATGTTGCCAAAGGTCTCACTGACATACTAAAGACAACTGTCCTTTATTTACATCTTGCTTTAATTCTGACACAAATGTACGAAGACCGGAAACGAAGCTAACATATGGCTTCTTTAAATGGTGGAACTAGGATCCTTCTGGAAGGTTTTAGCAGTATTCTTGCAGGCTTATCTATTAAATGTATCTAAATAAATAACAACGCTAAAGCTCCTGTCTGGAAGAATGTGTACCTTTTGTTTGTAATAAAATAGAACATATAGTCACTACTGTTTTAATGTAGCAGCCTCTGTTGTCTATTGGTAGTTCATAATATTAGTCTTTTTATGATGGCAAGAATAAGAGGCAGGTCCCAATGGCTACCTGAGCTGGTATAGGGACTGAACCAACACTTCCTTTGCCACTAATTTCATCAGTTTAAATGTAGGAAATTGATATTCCAGTTTGATTTGTCAGTGTCAAACTAACACATGACCATATCCAGGGTATTACACTTGAAAAGGTAGCAGGCTTGCGGCACCTGCTTTTGCAACAGCTCAAGTGTTGGAACTATATATTTATGGACTGTGTGGAAAGCTGGAAGATATGAATCAGTTTGGACATCTTCTGAATTAATTGGGGATTTTACCAAGGGAAAAGGCAGTTCTTGGAAAATGAGATCAACAGTTTAATGTGGGCTGTGATTCACCTATTTATAGAAAGACAAGTGATTTTGGAAAAAGAGCCAAGCCAAGCTTTGTAAGGGCAATGAGAGATGGAGTTTATTGTTCATAATTGCTGGAAAACCTAGCTTTGAAGGAGACAATGGGGCCCTCTGCTGATGGTTTTGTTGTGAACCTCCTGGGTTTTGTTTTCTGTTTCTTTTAAAAGAAAGCTCTCTGGGAATCAGAAGGAAGATCTCCAAAGCTTTGAATAAAGCTGCAAGTCTCTCTCTCTCTCTCTCTCTCCATCCTTTGGCTGAAGTTTTAAGAAAATAGTAATGTTTTCAAATCGAATATTTTGACTAACTTTGCAGAACCTGAGAAGCTGGACTGTGATCATTTTCCAAGTAAAACCGAAAGAACTGCGGATGCTGTAAATCAGGAACAAAAACAAAGTTGCTGGATAAGCT